TAACGATAGCCCAAACCATTCCGCAGCTTTTCTATAGAATATGAAACACGTGAAGCGATAAGGCATTTGTAACGTGACTTGAGGGCTGGTCTTTTAAACCGATGACATCACTGGGCTGTACAGGAGTACCTGCATCTGTGACTATGGTACCAAACCTGTCTGCAATCGCAACATGAGGCTACACAACTGCTAGATGCACGCAGGTCCTCTAAAACAACTGCAAACATGTCCATGCATTATTTCCCCTTAATATGGCACGCAGAAATGTTAACCCTGTTTTGGAAGGGTTCCCCGTTAACACTTCCAGCCAAAGCGGTTGGGGTGGATGGCGGATTTCGCCTGTTGAGATCTTGTGAACTACTGGGTTGATTGCAAAGCAACTGGCGTCTTTCACTTTCTCTCGATGAGATCTACACTCCCTCAAAACCTTCTAATAGGGTGACAGGTGGCTGAAACTCCATTTCTCAGCGGGATGTTCCGACACATGCCACGTAAAACACATATGCCACGTTTATCAACCGACTTTGAAGTTCGCAACACAGATCATCAGATAATTATTTTGAGATTGATGAATCATGACGTCCCAAACTTGAAACTTCATGAGCGGTTCAGGAGTTTAAAAATGGCGCAATCATGAGCTGAAGTTTTTTGTCGAACTATGCGGAGCAGATAGAGAATGGCATTTTGAAAATATGAGCCAAGGGTCGGCGTAGGCGAAGTCCGGGTGTCTGTTGGGGTGGTGCCAATGGGGGGGGGGAGGGGGGAGAGGGGAGGGGGCTAATTAATACGAACAGTGACCGACAATAGCAAGTAAGACATTTTTTGAGCGAGAAAGATCGGCCAACTATACTCTCGCTTTGCCGGCCGCAATGCTTCTGTGCGCTGAAGATGAGGTCAAGTGCCCTGGCAGCATGTGCGGACGCGTGCCATGTGGTATCCATTTCTGCGAAGAGAGGGAGTGAGGACGGGCGATTGGAGCGTGGGCCATGGCTGGGGCCGTCAGTTAAGGGCCTGCTGTTGATCGCCACGGTCTCCGTGTACTGCAATCCCGCCCCATTTGATCGGTCCTAGACTCGCCTGCAGCACAGTTAGTTTAATAGTGCGTGCTGCGCATGTGAGGAAGATGGAGGGCAGCGTAGGGGTTGTACCTTCGTGTGCCAAATTATCCTGTCTTCCTTGCTCTCGTCTCTGGAGGTGCCCTTGTGCAAACATGCTTTTCCCTTCCTTTAGCATGGCACGCGCAAATCTTTCCTACGCTTTGCGTGCACTGCACCGTAATGCTGACGTAAATTTAAGGCTGCGTTTTTCTGATTCTTTTTCGGAACGCACTGCTGTCACCCGATCTAGGTACTGCTTGTGTAAATGTTGACTTAAGTGCAACACTTTGCATGCATTTAATAAGAGGCATCACTAACACACCTACATTGGTGACTAATAACGCATTTCGCGTTATTTGTACCTTATTATATTTCTGTTACAGTCTCCGCTACGATACGTTTGCTAATTTGCCAGCACCATATTCATGTTGCCATTCCTCTATGCACATGGATGCATCAGATGCTCCTGCAAACGCAAGAATGCAGGTAATTCCGCGGATATCACGGTCTCGGCATTATCGCCAGCTTTTGCGGAGGGTTCCTCCAATACGCGGCCCTACGTCCGCCTCTGCATATTCATGTGCCCGAAGTTTTGGTGCGATACGTAAAAGGAATTAACTAAAAAGTGAGAATATTTCACCGGCATTTTCCAAACCATTTTGGAGAAAGCATAAGAAATGCGATGGGGATTTTAATGCCCCTTTCCAGCCGTAGCATAGTCTTAGTATCAACGCTTTGCATACATTTAAGCAGTGCACACCAGGGATAAGCGATATCTAAGAAATCCTTGCAGCTTGGAAAGTAAAGATCATTGTGTATCGGTCATCATGTAGGAAAAACAACTCTTCGTTACTTGACCTTTGGGCACACTCTGTGAGTCGGCGAGAGATTGAATCCTGAATATCTCCATCAACTCTAAAATTTTGCGCATAAATATCCCATACTTAGTCCAAGATAAAGGGAACGTAACCAACCGAACATGCATCAGCGTTTTCAGCGTGTCTTCTCCGAAGCTAGCAATGTTACGAATAGGTCAAACGCCAAAGGCACCACATGTCTCTATCAGGTATTTAACACGGGAAACGGAAACGGCTCTATCCCTGTTTCAACCCAACCAATACATTTGTATTCACGATTGCCATCGTGAAAAAAGGCCGGTCAAGATGTCTGCCGTTCCGGAAAACAACGCACAAAATATGCTTGCTTTATTCCTGCGCAACCTTTTTGTGATGCAATTTGGTGAGCGACATACCGCCGACCTGTGTCCATGCACCCGTGGTCGCCGTCATACTGGATCATCTTCGGACCCCCCTCCCCCGACTACTAAGAAAACAACCATTTTTCCAGAAATGCAGAAAACGGTGAGTGCATCATGTTGTCCCCAGTCGTGTGAGCGTTGTCGTGCCAAAATATGACATCTTTTCCGGGCGATCGCATAGCCGGAACGCCAAGCGCGGTCCGCCGTGTGTGCAGCACATCCTCTATTTTAAGAAAAAAAAACAGGAGCTTACGCACGCAGTAGTTACCGGAAGCATGCCACCTTACTTCCCTACCAAATTGATGGCATGTACTTAGGTGAACCTAGGTGGTCGCGTCCAGCTCTTGGCGGTTGAAAATGCCACGTAGACACATACAAATGAAGAGATCGAGATCATGTCATGCTGTTTCACGATACACGAGCAACCGTTCTCGCCTGCGGCGGACTTAACTTGGTCTTAATTGTTGAGTTGTGCCTACCCCCGCCACACAGCCAATTCCAAAATCCTGCGTTCTTCCCGCTTAATAATGCATCCGGTTCGCGATAAAGGCGTGGGAAGGCGAAACAAGCAAATCGCCCACATGTGAATCCTCCATTAAAAGATGGCAAGCTGTTCAAACAGGTAAATACCACTGTACTATTGAGGTTGCCTAGGTTCTAGGGCGGGGGTCAAATTGACCCCCCGAAGGTTTTTCAAGAATGGTTTCTGAACGGCACGGCGTAGCCACACCAAATTTTGCACAGCTATAGAAAATTGAATAATGAATCGTTTGATGTAAATACTTTTATGTACCTTGTGAGGTCGCCGACCTATGGCAGGTCAAAGTCAGGCCATGGTTTCAGCGAAGACAATTTCTAGGGAATCGTCCAATCTGATGCAATAACGGAGTATTTAACGAATCCATACATCTCTGACATGCTTTCTTGAGCACCACAAACACTGAATAAGCAAATTAAATTGACCTAAAGACAGGTATGAGGGTCAGACCAAGGTCAAAACTAAACTGATATTTTACTCTAGGGCTTGCTGTATGGGATAGTTTGTGGTGCTCATTTATGATGTATTGACAGCAGGAACCGCATTACACATCTTCCATTGACTTCTTAGGGGTCAGAACAGGTCATTGACCCAAAATGACCCGGATCGACGTTTTGTTTTAGGAACATACTGACTTGCGTAATCCTTGTCGCCTATTCAAACGCAAAACTCAGAGCAGTCTTGTATGATTTTAGTCAACATGACCTTAAAAAGGTCAAACAAGGTCACTAACCTCAAAGGGGCTTGTGACCTTTTGCTTCGAAACAGTTGCCTAGGTTCTAGGGGGCACTCTAGAAAATAACCTGCAATTTGACCTTGGTTGACCTTATTTCACCTGAAGATCATGATCTAAGAAGCTCAAATTTTGACCCTGAGTGAGGTCACGTACAGGTCAAGATACCCTGTAAATTTGGTGCTTCTAGCTCTTTCAGTTCCCGAGATATCAGGGGGTGGGGGTCAAATTGACCCCACCCGAGCAAAGAGTATCTAGCCGGCCACCCGGGCGCGTGTTAAGGTAGCGTGGAATGGTGGTGCTAGTCTAAAGTTCATGCCATTTTGATCTGGCTTCTAGACATTAGGGTGTCTGGCTGGAATTTACGTTTGCCACACAATCGTCAGTCGGCATGATCATAGAATGATCAAAATCGGCATGATGATGATCGGCATGATGAACATAGCATGATCCATCTCTTGCGACCTCCGCCGGGGGACATTAAATGAGCGCGAAGCGAAGTGTATCATTTTTGGTCGGTATTATGAACACCTTGGAAGCGCACGTTTGCGGTGGGCATATATAAGGGTAACCATTGTTTTGACATGTAACTTTTCCGGTGGGACTGTGTCGCATGGTTGCATTTAGCTAAAAATAGGTTGAAAAAAGTGTTGAGAAAAATAAAACGTATTTAAGGGGTCCTCAAAACAACCGAAGTTCATCAAAGGCACGGCCAACAGGCATTGAACATTTTGAAGTCTTAGTGCTATGACATGTGACGGTGAATATTTGTTGGTTTGCCTGCTCAGGGATATTAATTACAGAAAAGGGCGCTTTTTTCTCCAGCTTCTCAAGATATGTAGCACAGCCAGCTTGAGCAAGGCGCTGATTCAGCGAAACCTTTAGTTTTGTCTTCGAATTGCTGGGATCTATGACGCAGCCAGCATGAGCTCCACAAGGATTCCGCAAAACCACCAGTGTTGCTTTCAACATGCTAGAGCATGTGGTGCGGTGCAGCGAAGCACGTGTTTAACACGGGTTATACGAAACAATTCGCTTTGGCTCAATTTGCCGGAATATGTGACACAGCCAGGCATTCATTCCACCCGAATTCCTCAAAAAGTGCGCTTTCCTTCAATTTGCTTAAGTCTACGACACAGCCAACTATGCATTCCACTGGGCCGCTCGGCCATGGCTCTCTCTGTCGAGAGGAAGCCCCTGTCTCCCTGACATGGGCTGACGTCACAGCGGCCCGCACCGCTCTGAACTGATGGGCGGGGTTGAAGGACACGCCCGTGGCCGCAGCCGAGAGAAGCGAGGCGCAGCCGGACCGCCGCCGGGCACGGCTCTACCTGGACCGCCTATATAACGCGTCCAGCTCCTCCAGCCAGCACAGTCAGTCCTCCTGCAGCGGGGAAACATGAAGGTTCTGGTAAGTGAAGCCGCTAGGGTGTGTGTGTTCGGCAGCGGTGGAACCTTAGCATTTGTAGTTTTGATGCATATGTGCAAGACTAGGTGTTCTATCGCGTCGCTGTGACCTGCTATAACGTGTTACTTACCAGACGTATAGCGAATTATTTGGTATTTCCAACCAGCCGTATTCCGCTCTAAAACGATACATTTGTCGCAAAATATTGGTATATGTACACATTTCATGGAGTAGTGCCAGGAGTTTCATGTCTCGCTTATTACATGAGCGACAGCTGATTTCTTTAGCCATGTGCCACATTTCCGACAGGAAGTATGTTATATAATCCGCAAGGAATCACTGAAATTTTTCTGATATATGCACCCCTATAGGCACCAAACAGCAACGTTGTACTCAATGACAAACATGATAATCAAAATGAGTTGGATGGCACTCGTAAAACGACTTACACTCTCACAACGAGAAAAACGCAGGCATAAAAAAGAACTGAAAAGGCCATTTTCTATAATTTCATGATACCACACAGGACATTCAAGCGATTAAAAAAACCTAGAACAATTGGCAACTCCTAGCTTGAAGCTAATACTCAAATTGCAAAGGATTGCAAAAATTGCAGGTATATGAACTCAAATCAAAAATAGAAATCAATTTGCGGATACATGACGTCAGCATGCATATGATAAAACTGAAGAGCAGATGCCGCAATCCTGAAGTACGGTATCCCAAAATTTCACCTAAGTGAACATCATCGCTTTGCTTTCAAGACATAGGTCCAAAACTCCCCGTCCATAAATCCAAAGCATAGCTTCACCAATGCCCCTTGCCCTGTATGCTGGCTCCAGTCAGTTCGCGGTCGTTTGGAGAAGGATCTGTTCGCTTCAATGCAACACGATCAAGTATTGCTCAATCATAAGCAAATTCGCACTATTGAGCCCAACTGTCTGTGTTCCCGCAGGTCGCACTGTCCGCTGTGCTGGCGCTGGGCGCTGCCCAGTACTCGCCGGTTGGGTACCCATACTACGGGTACAGCCCGGTGAGCTACTACGCCGGCGGCGCGTACAACCATTACGCCCCGACGGTGTACAGCGCGGCGCCAGCCGCTACCGTCAGCTCGCAGTACCACGCTCAGGATGAGCTGGGCCAGTTCAACTATGGCTACGCCGGAGGCCCGTCTGCCAAGAACGAGTTCAGGAGGTTCGATGGCGCCACCGTTGGCAGCTACAGCTACATAGACGCCAACGGCAAGGTGCAGACCGTCTCCTACACGGCCGACGATGTCAACGGCTTCCAGGTGAAGGCGACCAACCTTCCTGTGGCCCCGGAGGCAAACCTGCAGGCGCCCGAGTTCAACCTGGAGGCGCCCGTGTTCGACGGCGTGGCTCCCGAGCCGGTGCAGGACACGGCCGAGGTGGCCGCCGCCAAGGCCGAGTTCCGCAAGAAGTACGCCGAGGCGGCGGCCGCTGCCGCCGCTGCGCCCGACACCGACGCCCCGGAGGCTGCCGAGGAGGAGGCGGCCGTCGCCCCTGCCGAGCGTCGCCGTCGCAGCGCTGTGCTTCTGCCCGCCCTGGCCAAGGCCACCTTCAAGACCGCAACTCTGGATAAGGTGGAGGCCGACACCCCGGCCGACACCACCCTGCTGAAGGTCACCGAGAAGGAGCACGAGACGTACGTGCCCAGCGTGGTCTCTTACGCCGCCCCCGCCGTCCACTACACCACCCCCGTGGTCTCCTACGCTGTCCCCGAGGTGAAGAAGGTTGAGGTCAAGCATGTGGCCTCTCCCATCACATACGCTGCCTCTCCTCTTCCCCTGGCCTATGGCCTGCACCCGTACGGCTACGGTGCTCCTCTCATCTACAACGTGGAGGCCAAGGAGGAGACTGCCGCTGTCGAGGAGGCTGCCGAGGAGGAGCCGGCCGTCGTCGCCGCCGAGCGTCGCCGCCGCAGCGCCGTGCTTCTGCCCGCCCTGGCCAAGGCCACCTTCAAGACGGCCACCCTGGATAAGGTGGAGGCCGACACCCCGGCCGACACCAGCCTGCTCAAGGTGACTGAGAAGGAGCACGAGACGTACGTGCCCAGCGTGGTCCCTTACGCCGCCCCCGCCGTCCATTACACCGCCCCGGTGGTTTCCTACGCTGTCCCCGAGGTGAAGAAGGTTGAGGTCAAGGCAGTCCCCATCACCTACGCTGCTAACGCCTTCGCCTACGCTGCTCCTGCTATCACATACACCACCCCCGTGGTCAAGAAGGTTGAGGTTAAGCACGTGGCCTCTCCCATCACGTACGCTGCCTCTCCTCTTCCCCTGACCTATGGCCTGCACCCGTACGGCTACGGTGCCCCTCTCATCTACAACGTGGAGGCTAAGGAGGAGACTGCCGCTGTCGAGGAGGCTGCCGAGGAGGAGCCGGCCGTCGTCGCCGCCGAGCGTCGCCGTCGTAGCGCCGTGCTTCTGCCCGCCCTGGCCAAGGCCACCTTCAAAACAACCACTCTGGATAAGGTGGAGGCCGACACCCCGGCCGACACCACCCTTCTCGAGGTCACCGAGAAGGAGCACGAGACGTACGTGCCCAGCGTGGTCTCTTACGCCGCCCCCGCTGTCCACTACACCGCCCCCGTCGTTCGCTACGCCGTCCCGGAGGTGAAGAAGGTCGAGGTCAAGACGGCCCCCATCACCTACGCTGCCTCTCCCCTTCCCCTGACCTATGGTCTCCACCCGTACAGCTTCGGCACTCCTCTGATCTACAACGTGGAGGCCAAGGCTGCTGAAGTCGAGGAGAAGGCTGAATAAACAGTTTTTCCATCTAAACATTGAACGGCAGACAGCTGCGTTCGTTACATGTCTTGTCCTGTCTTCCATGCTGCAGCGTCCGTTGTTCCAGTTGATGACATGTGTCCATGTGTGATATGCTTCGGCCATTACCCGTCGTGATTGCACCATTCGTCATGCTTCCAGTAACTGGGAATACAAGGTTCACGTCCTATGTACTCCATTGTTTTATCTCGCTGCAGAGCTTGTGCAAAGGCGACGGTAGTTTTGATAGCAGATGTAAAAAATAAAACAATGCTATCACGTAGTAATAAGAAAAGCCTTTGCTGATGGACCCACATCCTCAATGTCGAAGGTCAAACTATAGCATAACGTGCCAATGCCAGACCCACATAATAAGATGTAAACCGTATGTGACCAGACCATTCTTAAGTGTGTTATTTTGTATTATAGAGCCCTTACAAGGTAGCCAGATGGGTTCAATGGAATGCGCGTTTTTGATGGTAGGCAACCAAGCCGAGGCGGTAGCACTCTTGCACAACTAAGGAAATCAATTGAATGCTTCCCACTAGATGTCTCTGGTGACTAGGATTCCGTCCGCCATTGCCGAACACACGTTTCGAGCTAATCGTTCCATCGCTCTGACAATTTCCAAAGAATACTTATAGTTCTTGCTACATCTTCTGTGGATATTGTCAGCATGTCCATTACTAGGAAATGTACTTCCACCAACATGGGGCACCTAGTTTGTCCTTAAGGGCTAAGGGAAACTTTCTTTTGATATCGCTAGCCTTATGTCCATAAACTCTCATCTTTTCATCGATTTATATCCTCTGACGACTGTAGCTGACCTTGCCAGGCGTAACACAAAAGTCTGCCTCTTTTACTTCCAGCACGCCATGATAAGAAAAAGCATTGGTCTTAACAGACCCGAATGAGTAACCTAGAAGCCCCAATGGCGTACCTAGGAACGCATAAAACGTAATGTTTCATCAGCATGTGAATAAGGCGAAGAACTAGCTATTAAGATTTAATGGAGCACTAGAAGGCCGGATGCAAACTTGTTTTTATGTGATACGTAAGTTAGGAGCATTTTAAGGTCGGAGCTTGCATTAGCATACCGCTTTGACAGCTCTGAAAAGCGTTTTTGTGAGCTTGCGCTGTGAGCGTTTAGGTGTGACCTGTTCTAGGGAGCAAGGATTGGCCCACGACAGGTACAGTTGCACCTGGCAATGAAATGCATTAAAAGATAAGACGCTCGGAGGAACAGTCTGATTTCTAGCAATAGGAGACCACATGAACCCACAAGCCTGGACCTGCGTTTCTTAAAATCCAGCTACGCGCGCAATTCAGTTAGCTCCAGTTTGAAAATATTGCAAAATTTTCCAACTGGAGCACGTTGAGTCGTGTACCTAACACATAAGGAATAAGGAGAGTGCACGTTACATAAGGAACCCGCATAGAACTTTCCCACGTAACACACGAAGATCAGTTGGGTGATCGCTGCTTTCTTGCAATACCCATGGCTGCATTTCATCGCTTTTTGACCATGTGGCCATTTTGGTCTTGCCTGAGATCTCTTGGCTGACATAAATTTCAAAAGCTGTGAATACGACACACATGACACAGCCGGGCGCGGTTTAAAGTGACTTTTTTGAGCATTTAGAGCAGACGCGAAAGCAGGTGGAGGCAGGTCTAATCGGGGTCTTGTCGAAGTACAATACAAATATTTTCTTTGCAGCCATAGGTACACTTCAGACTAGGTCGCAAGACATGATTTAGGCTTTTTAGTGTGGCCGTGAAATCACTGCTGCGCAAGGATGAATTTGGGAAAATTTAGAAAGAAGAAAGCTGTTGTCCTGCGGCCCAGGACACGTCGACCGGTGTCTTACAGCCTCACGGACGCACCTTGGTTCCAAGGAAAATCACAAGCGGTAACCACGCAAGCGACATTATCAGGTGTACAGTGGTAGCTTAGTGCTAGAAAATGTGCTGTAAGCAAACTTTGTTCAAAAGTTGATGAAAAAATAGAGATTGAGAAGCGCTAAAAACTAGACATGGAAAAGGATTACGTAAATGAGTATTTTACCACGCGGTATTAACATCATTCTTTGGGGCATACAGGCACTTCTTCTTCAATTGCGTCTTCAAAAACACAAAAGTTGTGTTCGTCACGGAGCTGTGCTGCCAAAGCGTTGTCAAAATTATAGTAAATATTTCGTGACATCACCTGGTTTCCTCAGCTGCGTGCAAACGCAGTCTCTCTCGTAAAAAGACAAGATATCGTTCGTGAACTTTGCAATAAGTTTTGCTTTCATGCGCTCTCTACAGTTTGGTGACGTCACTGGTGCCGAGTACAGTTTGGTGACGTCACTGGTGATGCGGGGCAGCCAGAGCATCGGAAGTCCTCGCACAGATCATGGCCAAATTGCTAGGGGAAGTTGTACATGATTTGCAGGCGATTACAAATAATCCAATGGCGAATATGATGGCAGGGGTGGTAAAAGTGTACTTTTGTCACCGAACAAATTTTGGAAAAAATTGTCGCCAGCAGCGTAATGTGATGCCAGATGGCAAAATGGTCATCAAGTCCATGCCCAGTAGCGCCATCAGTAATCAGCCTGTAAACGAAAGTCTCTCCATTCACGGCACATTTCAATACCACACACGTAACCGAAACGTTCAGTCATACACTGCCCTTGAACAAGCGTCGGGATAAGTGCTGCTGCTAAGAAAGCAGGCGCACCTGCGCTAGACTAATGAGATAGCCCAGTAACAACACGCGTTTTCTTCCACCCCCGGGCCTTGCCGGGGCATGTCGCCGAAATATCAATTAAAGTTTATCTCCATTCTCCGGGTTTTTCCGAGGAAAAAGGCTAATACTACTGTCTTGCCTATGTGAATCAATCTCCTCGTTAATGCACTGAACAACTTGCAGGATGGATTACTGATAAAAATATGTGATATGGTTTTGAATATGCGCGCTCGTAAGTCCTAGAAACAACAGCTTTACGCCCAGCGTTGAAGTCTCCATGAACCGCGCGGCGGAGGCCTTGCGGCTGACACTAAGCGATGGCCAATGGGCAAACGAAAAAGATGGTGCATTTCGAGGAAGCTGGCTGCTGAAATATGTAAGTCTCCATGTATGCTTTATGTAGTGCAAAAGTAAGCTAAACACAACCTTAATCTGAAAAGAGGGGGGGCAATTAACACTGCTGGCCTCTCACCATGAAAAGTAGGGGGGGGGGGGGGCGTGGCCCCCCTGCTCCCTCTGCTCCTACACACATGACATTAACGCAAAACCATCTTCTCTGGACCTAATCTATTGACCATGATCCATGGGTTACTATCTCCCCCTAATCATGCATACAAATTGGCACTTATCACAAATTGGCACTTACACAAATTGTCATTATGCCATCATCAAACAAACTATGTTGATTTCTTCTATCAATGCAGGCTACGTTTACGGCAGACTATCTGCCTTCACAGCCTGTACTTAAATGTATACAGTGATTATGCTATTGGTTCCATTAGGACGATTTAACAATTCAGTCTTAACAAAAACAGCAATGAAACACACCATATTTGCATCCATGCAATGTCACACTCACAAGTGCAACGAACATATGCACATGAATGAGCATTGCAGAGCGAATGACTTCGAGAGCTTTCGTATTACAGTAGGGATGCTATCATCAGGAAATAGCCAACATTGTGCTCAGAGACAAACAAATGCCAACCCTTCATTGACCTCATAGGACAGTTGGGCCACAATACCATAAAACCACCTGTTATTTGAAGTAAAACTCTCGGTAGAGGGGAAGGTGGCAATGAAACCTGTACCACCCCCTATCTGCTCATCGCGGGTATTTCCTACACACGCCGCTCTCATGCTTACATGCACTGTACTCGCGTGGCCCACATCATTGGGTATCAAATAAACTTCCAGCAACCAAGATTCACGTTAGCGCCACGTTAAGGTTGAACTGTGAATAATGGTTTAAAAGTTTTTAAAACATTGATGGAATAATTGCATTTCAAGCAGGGGCATAGTTTTTCAAACTAGGTTTGGGAGTAGCAAACATTATGCATTGTACCCTCAAAGTATGGATGTCTTCCAGATTTGCACACATTTTCAGGGGCGGATCCAGTATTTCGGCAAGGGGGTCCACGAGATATTGTGGGCCCCGTCCCTCAAAAGTATCCTTGCATTTCTGTCATAACATTTTACGACAAGTGGCTTGTAATGCATGCATGCATATATATATATATATATATATATATATATATATATATATATGTGTGTGTGTGTGTGTGTGTGTATATGCATGTATATGTTTACTTCTTTATTTATCTACTAAATACGGAAACCCGTCTTACTGCGTACAGCCCCATAAAACAGAGGCGTGCTACGCATTCATGCGCATAGAGCTCACTCATTTTCTACGGAGCATTTCAAATGCTGTGGTTTTGAGGCTAAGTGTTTCGGATCAGCATGCAAAATAAACTTGAGTTTGCTGATAACAATCATCAAAACCAATCATCCGCTTGATTCCTAGCTTACGTATTTACGGCTAGCCGGCTGGGCGATGCAATCAGCTGATGGCTGAAGATTCGTGCAGAATTGTTCATTTGCTTTTGAGGAGTTCAACATATGAATGCTTTAAAAGTATGTTAAGAACATGATGCACTAGTATAATAGGTGTCACACACTAAATAGGCAATGGAAATGATGCATATGACGTCGGCGGCATGTAAAATTACGTCCGGCTATCGCGCATAAAGTTCATCTGCGCATATTCGACTGCTGCTCTAAGGCGAAGGCTCCAAGACCAATAGGGACGGAATCTGAGCAATCATGGGTGCCGCAGGAGGCCAACAAAGTGGCTCTTGTCAATAAGTGTAGGGCCCTTAGAGCAAGCAAAAACGCATCAGTTACTCCTGTAAACGCAAGAGTGCAGGTAATCCTGCGGATATCACGGTCTTGGCACTATCGCCAACTTTTGCGGAAGGTCCCT